TGGAATTAGTTCAACCGTCTTCAAACGTATTTCCAACGGTAGTTTGGCGCGTAACATGCCAATTTCCGAGCAATTTTTCAACCATATGTTTGGAGTAGAGGAGTTTCAGCCCCTTGGACCAACTCCTGTACTGCGGGCTAAGGAAAACTTGGTGTTGATTTGACATTTACGTCACAGAGAGAGAGGGCTTTGTGGATATAGCGCCACTTTTCCAAGTCATAAGTTTGGGCATGCAATCGACAGAAAACTGAAGTTGGGGAACACCATGAACAAAGATGGATCTTTAGTCGTTTTTTCCTGCGATATTCTCCTGTGCTTCGCTTCTCTTGCAGACGTTCACTCCCAAGAATGTTAGGGAATATTCGGAGAATGCACGACAAACCACGAAGACTGAGCTGATAAGAGGACGGTCCCCGCTTAGTCCCCTGACTGAAGTGTCACTAGAACTACCTTGGTTCGCCATAGTAAACTGACTTTTGGTGGCGGACGATGCGAACCAAACTGGCCTATTTAACCTGGATTCCTTTTCTTTGAAACTGTCTCCAGTTTGTCTGATAGAATTTCTCTTTGTCTCAGTCAGGTTAGAGATCATATTATCTTCAACGTATTCTCTACCCTCCTGGTGTTCACAATTTTTGATAAGAGCAGTTTCTGGCTGCAAACCTGCTTGCTAGTTTTCGTGGTTGGAGCAGCTGGCTCTACTCTATTAACCATACACTTGGTTTGTCCACTCTGTTTTAGAGCGGAGCCGAAGTTTTGGCTGCGAGAGTCGAGTTCTGCTGCAGCTGATTCTTATGCGGCCGCTATACCAGCTGTCGCGCGCTGCACAATCGTTGTTAGTTTGTCACATTTCTGTGCCAGCACGGAGATGCACCTTACTAGTAGGTTGAACTCTGTTGAACTAGTAGGTTGAACTCTGTACAGAACTAGTGCAGTGTAGTTCTTTCACTTCCACTTTGGTTAATTTTAAACATCGTGAGTGGAATTTCTTAGTGCGGTTACATGTTATTCCAACTGGAATAGTCTTGGATTATGTGGACTTTGTTTTCCTCGTTGATGTGTTACCAACCATGCAGTGGCGTAATATTAGGCACGTGGATAAATTGCCATCGCGATTTGTTTATCAAGGTTGGGTGCACCGACAGTGTCGGGGCAAGCACACAATGTCTGATGCAAACTCTGCAGGTGGGAACACAGATTCGAGCAATGCCGGCGGAGGTCAACGCACGGCATTTCTGCTGTAGATAAGTAAATGCGTGGCTATCGATGGGGACGGACTCCGGCTTGGCAGATAGTTGAGCGTTGACCAGAGTAGGCATGTGCAGCAACGACTGCTTTTACCCAGTATTCCAGTGTCATGTGACTTTATTTCACCAGCCCACCCCTGGCCATCAACAGTTTGATGAATCCGGTTAATACGACAGTAACACGTACTGGATATACCGGACACAAGCCCAATCCCACTCGACTTGTCCAATCTCAACCGCTAATAATATTGAAGAAATATGGATGATGTAGAAAGCTTCATGTTAATAGATTACTGTACAATAAAATCCGCATCATCCAAATACAGTTAAACACGAAAAATATCCAGAGGCTCACCGGGCTCCTACTTCTTCCTTGCCGTGTTCGTCGGTACGGCCCATTTCTTCGGCCCAGTGAGGGCTTCAAAGCCGTGACCCACCGTTTTTCAGGTACAGCGTTGTGGCTGATGAGGGATGTCAGCAGCCGACATGCCTAAGCGACCGACTGTGATATGATGAGTGTGGCATTGTCTTTGAAGGTGGCTGGGGTGCCGAAGGCAGGCTGGTCAAACTATATAGCCAGTAACTTGAATCTTGCTGAAGTTTGGATCGTGGCAGGTCACAAAAGGCTGGTTAAGCATGTTAGTTACCAATATGCGCTGTGTTCTATAGTATCAAGGTTCTGCTTGCAACAGAGTAAGTTACAGTAGATGCAATTCGCCTTACCGATAAATACCACCGAGACGAAACTATAACCCAATATGTACCCAGATTACAGTGGCTGTCTAACTGAGTCGAATGGTCACTACCTTGTGTCGGCTTGGCTACCGCTTTCACCAATTAACGACAATGAGACACGAGAGAACGGGAATGGAATTCTGGCTTCTTTTCATAGGAGAACGGTACAGGAAAGCTAAGTGGTGAATACTTGTTGAAACCAACCAGAGAACTGAAAATGTGCTACTGAATAAAACCAATAAGGATCGCGGGAGTAAAGAACCAATCAGATGCGCACAACGGGAGAAAAATGAGTGCGTTGGTGTCAGAATGGAACTCTGATCTGAGCAAAGACAACAACTCTAAACAGCCAATGACACTAACAAAGTGATAGCTTGAAACAAGCGTCAATGAATGTACGCAACAAAACGAAAGCCTGCAATTGTGGACGATTGCGTACACACAACTGCATTTTGCCGATCCTCCAATACACGAACTCCACTTTAACCATTTGGACGCCTCTGCTACGCTCTAATAAAATCCCTATCATCCGATACCGACATAAATTAAGCGAACTGTTTAATGTCATGTGTCAGTGTTTCCAGTCAACCTAACAATGCTACCCTACCAGCCACTCCATTTATCAAATGACGTAGCATTACAGCGTCCACTAACCCTCATATACTTTCATGGGGCTGCGGGTTTCACTTTATTGTGTAACACACCATTCAACGCACACCATTGTGTACCTTTCTGAAGGATGACCGTCAGACTATCATTATGTCGTTCACTACGTATGGAAATCCTTGAGATGCGACTCAATGGACTAATTCTTGATTGCAATACGATCTCACTACAAGTTACCAACCTCCATTCGCGTTCGTCTTCTCACTGTGGAAGGAGAATCGCGGATTAGGGAAGAGTAGGCAGGCTTTCACCAAGGACGTGGTTGTGTATACCATATATTCACACTGCGGCAGGTGCTAGGACAGCGCCACACGTACCGAAGACCGACAATAGCTATGATCCTCGACTTTAAGAGTGCATTCTACTCAGTCGATCCATCAATTCTGTCCGAAATGTGTTCCCAGTGATCTATGTGGACATTTTACTTGCCCTGTACTCTAACAACACAGGTCCCATCAGAGTCTAGCGTGACATAGCAGATGTTTTTCTGACAATATGTGGCGTTCATCAGACTTGTCCAACACCCCATTCTTGTTTAATTTCGCCGTGGACTCCATCATGGTGTGTTCCCTTGTGGAATCTCAAGTTGCAGGCGTTGAAATGCTGTCTGGTGGAAAGGTAGATGATCCTGAATATGCGGATGATATTGTCTTGCTGTTTAAGGATGTTAGCGCAGCCAAGTTAACCCTTCAAAGCCTCTCCAGACTGGTCCCGTAATTTGGCCTGCTTTTCGCACCTTCAAATTGCAAGGTGTTGTTGCAAGACGACGCGCTACTTGGTGATCCCTTGCCGCTTGACAGCAAGGAACTCGAGGTGATTGAGCAATGCACTTACCGTTGCAGCTCTCATCAGCGATGGACGCATAAGCACTGAAGTCAATTCATGTATTGCAAAAGCTAGAACTGCCTTCGTAAATTTGCAACAGCTGTAGCGTCACAACGGGGTTTTTGTCGGTCTGAAAGCCCGTGTTTACAAGACCACCGTGAGGAGTGGAATGGTTACTTCGAGCTGAAGACCTCCGGCGCCCTCAAGCATTTGATCATCGGTGCCTGCGAAGCATTGCTAGTGTCGGACGGCACTAGCGTGTCCGCAATGATGATATGCGTGGGCGAGTACTAGAAAGTGATAACCAGGCTAGTCCCGTGAACAACAGATAGCAGTGAATAATTTGCGTTGGCTTGGGCACGTACTACGTATGCTCGGTCACCGCTTACCTATGAGGGCCTTGTTTGGTCTGCCAGATGTGGGGTGGCGCAAAGCTAGAGGTGGGCAAAAGTTGACTTGGCAGAAAGGAATAAACTCACTCACTATAAAACTTGGTGCTGTTAATCGGTCTCGCCTTCCATGCTGAAGTCCACGTGACCCGCTTTGTGTTTGGCTGGAGAGTGCAGGACACGCCTGCAGTCGGCACCAGTGGCGCGTCATCAGTCCTCTCGTAGTTGGACTACCAGTTTAAAGTGTGCTTGTTGTTGAGTTATCTGCGGGGTAATGGCTGATTATGACGTGGGGCAGGGAAAGCCGCAACGAAGCTGTCTCGCCGATGCCGCCTTATCTTTGCACGATAGCCAGCTGTTTGTGACGCATGTTGTTAACACAAGGTGTAGGCGCCTTGACCCCCTGTGTTTGTTTAGGACATTAAGGTTTATGCTAGTTCCTTATTTTCTCCGTTAAAATTCTTCCTTCCATAGGTCGCCATGGTTGCACTACAGCGAAGCATCAGTTCACATGGCTGATGATGCTAGTGATGAATATGATCACACACTTTCTGCAGAGCCACTTGGTTCAGAGTTGAAGCACCATTTTGGTTACATGATGCAATTGTAGTAGACAGAGGATTCCCCCGTTGACATGAGACACGACGGTAAAAGAATACAAAAATCTTATTTTTACCAGGCACCAAGGGAATATGAAGCGTCTGTCTGTGTTGGCCTGCATAAGGTTGGTTGAATAGCTCGGCACACATTCGAACGATCCTCGATTTCGGATCTGGCTTGTCTTTCTTTGCGTTACTGCTGATTCGAATAGGATCCCATAGCTAGCCTGGTGTATCGGTGTCGTCCTAGTCGTAGCTTAGACACCCTGTTCCTAGGCTATCTAAATAAATGATCTTATAGCGCTTACTATTGGCGGTTCTCATTTACCAGTAGATTTGTGGTGTTTAGTTGCCTTCGCGTTATGCTATATAGTTAGCCCTAATCTTCGCCATTACACTGTATTCTCTAGAGAGTTCATCACCCACTAGAAGCCACCTTCATAACACTGCATCAGGATGTCAGACGATCGCTTTCACAGTAATCGTTAGAAAAACCGTAACTGCAACTCCAACCACATGTGGTCCGATTTTCTTGGCAGACACTATTTACCTTCTTGGACATTGATGAGGACGGTAGCATCAGCCGGCGCGAATACGAAATCGCTCTTTGTCTGAGTTCCGAACGGTCGGTGGAGTAAGTCGCCGAGTACCATTTTTGATGTTTGGGGTGTTGCCGGCCTAAGTTGCTTCTTCAACGGTCATGAAGCGATGCACGACGTGAAGGAGACAAATGTAAATTGTACCCCAGTAGGACGAAACGACTGTCCAGGGCTTTTCCAATGTGGTGATTAGACTCACTGATGTGTAAGCTGTCGGAAATAAATAGAGAAATTTCAGATGAAATACCCCTACTCATCAGTGCACACAACTTGGTAAGAAAATGTTAGTTTTATGGGTAATAGACTATTAGGTATTCTATTAGCTCTGCACGGCAAAGAATCTCCTTCCAAAAGTAAGGAATAGCTAAGTTCGGTAAGCGCTAATCTCACTATTTCATTAGGTTTTAGCTAAGATACACGGTTGGTCGATTGAATCGATGGCCGCTCTTTTCTTTTTCGAGTAAACTCGGTAAACCGACTTCGGTGCAAAACGTTTTCCGGTTTCCACTCGAATGTTATAAGCATGAGGTGTTATACATTTCCGTTGAGAAAGTTCACATTCATACAGCGTTTAAGCCTAACTTCTGCCCTAAACTTATTTGAAGGTATCCAGATTCAGGCACGTGAAACAAACAGGATGAATGCCAATGCCTCTGGGAACCCGTTCTGACCAAATAGGGAGAAATTCAAGTGGATCACATTAGGAGCCGCAAAACTGTATCTATTTTTAAATGCAAAACGTACGTAGTTACTTAATGCCGAACCACATCAGGAGTGTAAGCAACTACGGGACACGTGAGAGTGCCTTCTGTAGGTGGCACACAAGAAGAGAACATTCAACGACCTTCCAAGCACATGTACTTATCTGTCCATATCAGGATTTGACTTCAGAGGTTGGTGTAACGATTGGGTTATAGAGAAAAGCGATACAAATGATTCGGCAGCCAGGCTTTACAGAACAGGGCTTATTTTCTCGAATGTTTGTTGACTGTGGTGCGGAGTGATGAACCCATTAAAAAATTACATCAAAGAGCCCCGTACTAGTTTCTAACTCTGAGCGGAATTCTGGGGGATCAGGTTGCCTATTGTCAACGGAACTGTAGAAAGCTCCTACATAAAAGGATGGTTATGGTAAATATTGTAAAACATGAACACCGAGTAAGCAAAAGTAAGTTCACATTGATTCGCTCACCTAGGTGTACGCAGTTAAAACTGTACATCCACTGCAAGTCCATAAGGAATGACGACAAATGTGAAGTTTACAACTATAATGTCACCTAGTGGTGAACATGTGTAAGAGGTGAAAAAACTGGAACACATGCTGTTACCTGACTAGCAGTGAAATCTCCGTGAACAGTGAGTTATGTGCGATGCTGAGATAAAATGAGTGTACGGTCAACTGGGGCTTTAAACTCCACCGGGAGGTCATTCAATGCTTGACAAAGGCATACGGAAAAGCAATTGCGACGGTACTCCAAAAGTCAAATATGCGGTAAGTCTACTGCGAGGCGTTTTTTTATTTTTGCTACATCTCCTTTTACTTACGAAAAACCGTTGTGTTTGTTTTTATATCCTTGGTAAATCCATTGTTCTATCGACTGTATTGCCCTGCTAGCTGGACAGGGTGGCCTCTCAGATTACTGTTGGGATTGAGCTCCAGCACGGTAATCGGCGATATGGAGCAATGGGTTCCTCCATGAATTCCAACCCCATCTCGTATGAGAAATGACGCATCCTGAATGAGATTTTCCGTAGACCGGCGGTAAAAGACTACAGAAGAGTGGGATACATATTTCGCTATGACTGTAAGTTTGAAATATGTATTAACTGCGAAGACGAATTGAATCAGTGGACATTAGAGCGAGAATGGGGAAGTCCAGTGTGTATACTCCGTTGCATAGTGCCCGAACTGTTGGTTGTCAGTTTTCGATTGTGATTTTATTTGATTGCTGGGACAACTCAAATTGTCCCGGGGCATCACACCATGGTCACGCTTGACAGAATAGCACTGCTGTTCATGTGGACAGAACCTTTAAGAGTATACGGTTTGGTATCATATGAGAGCATTCTACATCTGTCCAAGTTGGACTGGTGCTGAGTTCACGCCGTTCACTGATAATAATTAATCTTGTTCCCAGGCCCACATACCGTGAATCGGCTACATCAGACCACTTGTGGGGGCCACTGAAATGGAGACAGCTTAGAGCTAGGCTAAGTATAAGTTGTTTGCAAATCGCATTGTGCCTAGCGGGAATTAACTTCCTTTGCCTTATTGAAGTGGGATACCATAGAACACTTCGAATGATGCCTAGACGGAAATTGGTTGGCCCTGTACTCCGAATTTCCCTGAGTGGTCACGATAGCCTCTGACCACATTCCGATAAGTTACGCTGCTTCATGGAAACGTTGGGGCTATTTTGGTCTACTGTTGTCTTTCTCTGTAATAGACGCAAGAAAGTTCGATCAAGTCGAAGTGCTAAGGGGTTTCACGATATCTTGGAATTTATGTGCAAACGATCGGGAAGTCATTATTTCAGAAAACTTGGTGGACGAAGGGTTACTATATTTATGGTTGTAATATTTCACCGATGAACTGCAAATCGATTAGTCTCTGTATGTAGCTTAGCCATGCTCGTTATAAAATGCTAAGGTTAAGCTAATTCACTTCACCTGATGAAGCTTTTGTGTCAGAAGCGAAAGGTTGTGTATCAACAAAAATATATTAACCGGTCGTCTAGCAAGTTTTCTGAAATGCTAAGGGCTTTGTTTCGCTTCCAGGCAAACGAAAGGGGACGTTCGCTAGGCGAAAGCTTGCGTTGCTCCTGGATCCTATCCAGTCCTGCCCGACATTTATGTTAATCCTGCACTATATCTTGTTGCGGTCGGTAAAAAATCATTTGCACACAATCATTAACAAATAGAAAAATAACAGAACTGACAATAGTGAGTGTCACCGAATTTAAATGGGGCCAGACCGTGGTTTGCAAGCTCTAATCACCAACGGCTAGAGTGTCGACTTGATGTAGCTAGACCGTCGGATAATTCATACACCAATTAAAATTGGCACGAAAGGAAAAACCAAGCATTGTTTTGCACCAAACAGATGTCAGCGGGATGGCGGCGAGGGAATAAACTCTGAGAGTTAAGCTAGGTGAACAAAGTTGATCTGCAAACAATAATGAGATATCTAGCTTACTGGATGCTCAATGCTACTGAATCGATCTACATTTGGTAAAATGCCAACGCTTATTTCAGTCAGCCGGCGGTCATGCGACAAGCGTTGCGAATCGCAGCTGGCCTGGCCTGACCTAGCTCAGTCTATAACGGGACGAGGTCAAATGTGTGGTACTGTGTGGGAGAGAGAAGAACACCGGAAATGGCGCTCATCGAAAACAGCCTTAATGTCATCCAACCCAAGGGCGATTCTGACAGATTGGATCTCCAACTGAGTAACGGGTCAATGACCCTTTGAATAAGAGGGAGTAGTAGGGGGAGTAATAAATAAATACTTAAATGAATAAAAAATATAAACGACATATTTCCCGACTTTGCGAGACAGACCGAAAACGTGAAGTGATAATTTTGTTCAACATAATCGAACAGCAGGGAAGCTGCTCGAGTTTTTCAATCGTCCGAATGGAGTGTTGTGAATGTTCTATCAATTTGAGGTAGTGAAGTATGGAGTGATTGAGAGTAGGAGCAATGTAGGTATAGCCAGCCGTTTCAGTAAAGTAATACGACCACCAATGGAACCATCTCCTGGGGACCTGCATCCATGCGGAGTAATCCCTCGACTTTTTCATCAGCAATCCCACTTCTCATCTGACCATGTGCTGATGTGGCTTACAACAAGTAAGCCGTCATCATTTTGACACGTTTGTTGGATGTTTTTATGTGCAACTAAGCCATCTTCACGTTAATACTAGTTTGTTTGGGCCACTGTTATAGGAAGCTGGGCCGTCATCAAGTTGATGTTGCAGTTAAGGCCATATACATGTATATATTTTTTTCAAGTCTATGAATAGACATTGAGCCATCGGAAACCATGGAACTCAAAACAAGGTACAGAAATAGTAAAATAAAACACAACACAACACCTCAAAGTCCATGGTTACGTCAGAGGGCGAGATACTACCCGGTTGCCCAAGCCGAAGTAGGGTGTTGACTTAGGGGACACCACCTCGAGCCTTTGGATGAATAGCCTGCCCGCAAGGCAGCGGAGCGAATCCAGGGAATCGCGCCCATTGGGAGCCGGTGACTGATTGCTCAGTTCATACGCCTTTCGTTTGTTCCTTTGTCAAACAGGGGCCCAATGCTCCCCAAAATTACAGCATAAATTTGCTGGAATACAATGCTTCGCCAGGATGAAGCAAGTGGCAGTGACTTTATTTAGTGGCGAATCACGTCCGCCACGTCAAAGTGTTGTTAAACGGACATATGTGGCTTTTTATGGGGAGAACGCTTGCCAGGCGAAAACCCACCACGTCCTGGAACACTGCCGCCGAACCATTCACTGGAGAGGGATAATCCCGAACCACCCAGCTGGCATCACGAGGAGATTGTTCGGCAAGCTAGCCAGCAACCAGGTCGTATCCAAGTTTATTAATTTTAGGGGGAGGATAGCGCTCTTACATGCTAAGCACTGCCGCCATACGGCCCATCCCACATTTCAGCTGTTTTGAGTCCCGCATTTTTTTGTACTCAACAGTGAGTATGTGACCAATCAACTTGCGTAGGTGTAGTAAAACATTTCCCGATTGGTTGCGTCTACAGTGCAATTGAATTGGTCCCTAACGCTTTGATTTGCATCTTTAAGCCGGTTGAACATGCTCAGTAGTGCAATTGAATTACATCTGGCATCCTTTCTACTCACAGAGCGCGCGCAGTGACCTTGGTATTGAGCTAGCCCGAAGCAGCGAATGATGGTAAACTTAATCACCCTTGCATGAATGTTTGAGTTGGTGGGGTGTGGGATTAACTCTTGGGCTGCCGAGCTTGGATTCAGCAACGGTGACTAAGCTGAAGCTAGTTCTAC